TGTCATTCCTACAACCACTGTCTCCGCTGAACTTTTGAATGCTCCTCTTGCTTTAAGTGATTGGCCGTGGGGTTTGTTTTGTTTTGTTTTTTCCCTGCACCCCACAACTGGTGTTTCTGTAAAGCACAGGGGCACGGCCTGCTTCCTATTGGGTCAGGCACCTCGAGCCCCACCTCTCCTTGCCGAAAGGGAATTGTAGTATTCTCTGGGCTTGTCTTGCTCGTGCTGTATTTATTGTTTTGTTTTTATGGGGCCAGATTTCAGAGTCACTGCACCTGGAATGACCTTCCTCCCCGTTCCTTCTGCCCGCATCTCCCAAACGCTGGGAGTGTAGGTGTGCCGCCATTTCCGTCCTAAGCTTTAAATGCTTGCTCCCACTTCTGTCCAGATACCAATGTTCTTAAGACTGTAGAATTTCAAGCTTGGTGTTATAGTATTGTTAGAGAGATGGAGTGTCCCGTGCATATGGTGTTCATGTGGAGTCCAAGAGCAGTGTGCAGGGATCCATTCTCTCGGGGTCCCAGGGGCCACCCTTCCGGCCACCTGCTTGGTGGATGCAAAGCCATCGCGCTGACTGTAGAGTCTCACCCCAGCTTCCAGCTGTGCTTTTGCTTTTTGCTTTTTGTTTGGATTTCAGTGTTTGGTCTTTGAAGCGGAATCTCAAATTTTAGCCCAGGCTTGCTTTCTGGAACTCACTGTCTCTCAAATTAGCCTCAAACTTGTGTATTCTCCTTCCTCACCTTCTCAAGTGCAAGGATTACAGGCAGGAGTCACCACGCCTGGACTGTATTTTCAGCTTACTAAGTATGTCTTACATTCCCATAGTATACTTTTAAGTTTCTTGTATAAGAGTGATTTCTGTCTGCCCTATGGTGCTTGTGCGTAGAATTTTAGTAAATGAGTTCTGATAGACATGAACTCTCTGATCTGTTGTAGATTTAATAGATCCACACTATATTCTCCATAGACCAGCCAAGGGACACCTGTTACTTCACTCAGAAAGCTTACAACTACTTTTGGGGAAATAGAGTATAAAATTGCTTGACCTTAAATATAGTGACACATACCTAGTCATTATTGATTGCCTGGTAGTGTTTCCTTCCAGATTCGGAGTAACAAATAATGATTTGCCCTTTACACTTACGGATTTCATGATTCCTCTGTGCGCGCGTGCGCGCAGACACACACACACACACACACACACACACACACACACACACACTGTTGTCATTTCTTTATGCTCTTTTCTCCAGAAGTGTTTTGCATGTGTGTGTGATTGTATGTATGGGTGAAGATACAAGGAAAGGCTCTGTTTGTAGCCTAGGCTGTCCTTGAACGTGCTGTGAGCCCTGGTTACACTCACACTTAGACAGTTTTGTCTCCGTCTCGTAACTGCCAACATTCACAGGCTGCGTACTCATGTCCAGCACCTAGTTCTAGCCAGACTGCTCCTCATTCCTCCTGGAACCCTACTTCTGTGTAACCGGACTCAGTTCTAGGTGGTGGTTCTGTCCAGAGCTTGTTTGTCAGGGATTCGTAAAAGCCGTCACTGAGTGGATTGCTTCTAGACATTACTCCGTGTGGTGAGTTTTATAGTGATAGACAGGTAGCTGACGGCTGCTAGGTTTCTGCATTCCCTTTGTGGTTACTTTGAAGGAGAGGTGGGAACAGACTGGTCTCAATGTGGACAGAAGCAGCCATGAAGCTTCTGCCTCTGGACAAAGCCCACCTTCACCCTGGTCCTTCCCAGGGCAGAGGCCACAGCCAAGGGCACGTGAGTCCTGACTTCCTGCACCATAGCTTAGTCCTTGTCTCCCCTTTCTGGACAATTTCTACACACTATGAAAATTGGTTAAGACTCTCTGAGTCTGTGACAGTTTGGCACCAACCTTTCACTATTAGATTGTGTAACTGTAATGCCACTCAGGGCAGCGGGCTGGTGGGCAGCCGGTGTTCTGAGAGTGAAATGGACTTGAGTTCCTCAGTGCTAATCCTTGTCTGCTGGAAACAGAATCCTTAAGGTGAAACACTAAGCAGGTAACTAGTTTGTTGTGAATAAATTAGAAATGAATAAAATGTGATTTATGGGTTTGACAGATTTTTTTTTTTTTTAATCAGCAGTATTTGAAGAATCTAGATTTTTTTTTTTTTTTTCCTTTTTAGACAGGGTTTCTCTGTTGCCTTGGCTTCCCTCGATTCTTAGTAGACCAGGCTAGCCTTGAACTCACAGCAATCTGCCTGCCTCTGTTTACCAAGTGCTGGGATTAAAGGCGTGTGCCACCACACTTGGCTCTTCTTTTTTATTTTTACTTTGGTTTTCAAGCAGTCTTTTTAAATTTAGGTTTTTTGTTTGTTTGTTTTTAAAGTCCTTTTGGACGCTCACCCGGATGGTAAGGGACTCCTGAGCCTCTCCGTTCCTTGCCAGGGTTAGGCAGATGATGACTTCTGTCCCCACCTTTCCTCATACCCTGACAGGGGAGGGAGAAGAGCAAGGAGCCTCTGCCCCAGTCCTGACTGGGACAGCCATTAGCCGGCCTCTCCCTGGGCTGCTGGAACGGCGGATTGCCCGTGTGGCGCTTTTCTAAACTAACTCTTTTTCTAAACTAACGCTTTTCTCTCTTGATTAAGTGTTTGCACAGGTTCGCCGCAGCATCAGTTGAGCAGTTTCTTAGTACCAGCTTCTTTTTGACATTTTCATTCACTTGGCCTTTAGATTCTCATACAGAATGGGCTTTGCTAGGAATCCCGTGTGATTCACTGGAGAACTGTTGTATCTGGGTGTCTTAACGACAGGAATATTGATCTGATCTGCTCTAACGTACTAAGTACTTTGTCAAGTACTTGCAAGCATGTTAAATTCTAAGCAAATCAGAATTTTTGTTTGCTTTTGTTGTTTTTGGTTTTTCAAGACAGGGTTTCTCTGTGTAGCCCTGGCTGACCTGGACTCCCTTTTTAGACCAGGCTGGCCTTGAACTCGCAGAGATCCATTTAACCTCTGCCTCCTGAGGGCTGGGATTACAGGTGTGCCACCACTGCGTGGCTGGTTTGTTCCTTGATTTCATCCTTTTGATGTAGGACAGAAAAGATGCCTTTAGTTCCTAGAGCTGACACCACAGCGTAAGTCACACTTGTAGGACTTCCTCTGGGGCTGTAGAGCTGGGGATTGTCCTTTCCCCAGCTCTGTCGTCCTCTCAGGTACACTGTGATCCTCTGTGGCTGCCGCAGTGGCGCTTTGGCTGCTTTTCGTGGTAAGGTTGACAGGTGTTACTGTAGGCACTTTGGTGAGCATGGCTGTGTACACCTGTTGACTGCATGGGACATGAGGGTGTGCAGAGAGAGGCCATAAATTTTCTTTCTTTATAATGTGGGTGTTTTGTCTCTGTGTGTGTTGCTCAAGGCGGCCAGAAGAGGGAGCTTGGAGCTGGAGTTAAAGATGCTTGTGAGCACTTGTGAGTGCTAGATGCTTGTGAGCAAATCAGTTATACCCCTCCCAGCAGGGACTGGCTTTACAAACGTCCTTAATCTCAGCACTAGGGAGCAGCCGCAGGGGGTGCTCTGTGAGCAGGAGGCCAGCCTGGTCCACAGAGGGAGGAGAGCCAGGCTGCATTAGGAGAGGCCCTGCCTCGAGGAGAAGGAAGCAAAACCAAAACTTCTCTCAAGTGAAACTTGCATGTCAGTCAGTCGCGTTTTAGGTTTGGTGTTTGGACAGCAGGTAGACTTGCTCTCCCGATTGTGGATCTGTGTGCCCCTCAACACTGTTTTGTTGTTGTTGTTTCTTCTTTACCACTTGGTAGCACGGGGAAATAGCATCTTAAAGCTTTTTAAATGAGTTGAACCCTTTAGATCTTCTTCTTTCCATTTATTCTTTTTAATTTTTAGTTACATGCTGTGTGTGTGTGAGAGAGAGTGACTGCAGTGCTTGAGGAGGACAGCGGGCCTCAGATCACATCCCGGCGCTGCAGTTGCGGGCTTGTGTGGGTAGCCTGCCCTGGTGCTGGGACCCATGGTGCTAGGAGCTGGCTGGGTCGTTCTGGAGAGCAGTGTGTGCTGGCTTGCTGAGCCGCGGCTGCCTTCCTGGTTTTCCTCCTCGCTTGGTTGTGTGTCTTGTCCTGACTCTCCCAAGAACAGCTTCTATTTGCGTTAACTTTGAAGGACGGTGCTGGAGGTGGAAGCCAGGTTTTCGTGCGTGCTGCACAGTGCCTTTTCACTGGGCTGTCTGTACCCTGAGCCAGATCTCCTTCTGTCCTTTCCCCTGCTGGGTTGCTCTGTGGTCGGGCTGCCTGGTTTGGGAGGACTGGGTTTGTGTGTTTCTAACACGGTCTCGCTGTGCAGCCCTGTGTAGGTGGAGCCAGCTTTGGCAGAGCCCCCTGTGCTGAGTGTGGAGTGAAGGCGTGCTCCACACGCAGACTGCTTGGCTTTTGAGGAGGGCTTCTCCCGAAGGCTGCGTGTTAGGCGGCGTGGAGTGCCGCCGTCCGCCTGTCTTTGCCTCCTTGGTGTGTTGGGGTTTCAGCTGTATACCTCCATGCCTCGCTCTGGACGAAGCTTCTGGGGATGAACGTCAGCTCCTCATGCTTGTCTGGTAAGCAAACCACAGAACGAGCTCTGTCCACACACTGTGAGGGGTACTCAGGTTGTCAAGCTGGCCGGTGTTGGAGGAGGACCAGAGGTGCTCCCGGTCTGTAGTGAGCGCCCTCCTGATCCACACCTGAGCCTACAGCGCATCTGGAGAGCAGGAGGAGGGAGAACAAGTGCTGGGCTTCTCTAGGGTTCCCTGGTTACATTTGACAGATCTCCTGAAGCAGAGAACAGCGCCAGAGAGTAAATTTCTGCGCAGTCTTTCTGAGCTCAGAGCTGGTGCGTGTTCTTCCTGTGTCCCAGGCTACCAGAGTTGTTTGGTGTATTTATTTTCCCAGACATTGATCAGCCTTGTTAACACCTTCAGACTGGCTTGTCTCTCCTGTGCTACAAAAACTGTGTGATTTCCTTAACCTTGGCCTCAGCATTGAAAGCAAACATGAGGTCACAATCCTAGGAGGACTCAATGAGTTTGTCGTCAAGTTTTACGGACCACAAGGAAGTAAGTACATGTGCGGGTGCGGGTGCACACTCTTCACATTTTCTCTAGCCAGGAGGACTGTCAACAGGCCTGTGGCCTTGGAAGTGCTGGCTGGGTGCTAGCCAACAAGCCAGGAAACCCGTCCCTCACGCACTTTGCTCTTCACAAGTTCTGGGTCGGTCGTGGGCGGTCACGTAGGTGTCCCTTGGGAAGTGTGTGTTCTTGTTCTTTGTTTAGGGATTGGTTGAGGCAGGAAAAAAGGAACATAACTGTCTCCACCAAACAAGTGGGCAGTGTTCGATAGGCTAGAAAAAGAGCCTGAGTATTTGCCGAACTCCGGGAATTTTAAAGGGAAGTGCGTGGCGGTTTTTCAGTGGTGATTGTGCATGCCAGGGAAGTTAATCCCTGGGCTGCATTTTAACTTTTTGTGTGTAGGTAGGTACCTTCGAGGTCAGAAGTGGAGTCCGGTCCCCTGGGATTGGCGCTGCGGTGTGAGCCACAGCATGGGTGCTGGATGGAGAGCTGGCCTGGGCCCCACGTGAGAGCAAGCAGTGCTCTTGGCTGAGCTGGCTGCCGCGCCTCGGTGAGGCGGGCACTCTTGCTGGGTTGTTGAAGCTGGCTTGACGCCACTCTAGTCTCTCTGCCCTCTAGCCCAGGCTAGCCTGAGACCTTAGCACAGCTGTCCTTATCCAAGTGCCTGACTCCGTGTGTTCGGCTAGTTTCCAGCCAGCACTTGGAGGAATTAGTTTGAGGCCTTTTTCAGGAGAGAGACTGTTCATTTACGCTTGGATTTATTTTCTGGTTTGAAGGCAATTCTAATGGGCAACATGCTTTCTTTCTGTTCCAGCACCATATGAAGGCGGAGTGTGGAAAGTTAGAGTGGATCTTCCTGATAAATACCCTTTCAAATCTCCGTCTATAGGTATGTGTCGACTTCTGAAATCTGAGAGGAAAATAAAAATCCTATATTTCATGAGAGATGATTAAGTCCAGAAATTCTTACTGAACTGGATTTTTTCTTTCTTGGCTTAAAAAAAAAAAAAGATTTATTTACTTATCTTATGTATATGGGTGTTTGTCTGCATGTGTCTGCACAATCCAGAAGGGCATGGGGGTCATGGGATGTAGCCGTGAGCTGTCTTTAGAACTGCTGCCTCATCTCCTGCATCCGACCAACCCCTACTCCAGCAAAAACTTTTTTTTTCAAATGGACTGCAACATTGTGAAGTTCTGGGTTTTTCCCCCACATTTCTGTGTAGTACAAATAGTGCCTTAGGATGATGTAGTATCTTTAGGGTGACCTCGGAACTAAGCCCTGTCAGAAGTTGCAGCTTGCACCTGTAACAAACCACTGCTTCTGCAGAGTTTTGTGTCTTAACAGTACTAAAGAGCATCTATGATTCTTTCTTAACTGGGGAGTTGAGCACTCAGCTCTTCTCTTCCTTCAGGTCCTTATTTAGGTAGGTTTTCTAACCCTGCATCCACCCAGGAGATAATTTGTGGAAACACGGAGAAGAAATTACCTCCGCGCTGCAAGATCCTGCAAGCTGCAGAGCTAGGGATGGTAGCAGGCCGCTCACGAGCACACTGGGCTTTCGGCTGTGTGGCCATGGGGCAAAAGCCTTCCCACGGCCTCACTCCACAGCGGCAGAAAGCAGGCGCCACCCTTCAGAGGCCTCTTCTGTTTGGTTCCCCACACCTGGTTCATTCCTGTGTCGCTTAAACTTTAGTTTTTCCTCCTGTTGAACTTTTCAAATACAGACTGTTAGTATGTGTCATATATGCCTGCATAAAGACAGAACTGGCATTCCAAGTATAGCTTTGTTGCCTTACACTACTGCAGCAAACAGTAGGGCTTCCGGACACCAGGACCCGAGTGTGGTCTTGCAGCCTGTGCTTGGAGGTCCGGGGCTGTGGAGATTGGGCTCTTCCTCCAGCTGTAACCTGGTGTCCCAGAAGGGTTCATCTCACTGGAGCTTTGAAGACCGTTTTGTGCTCCACCACTGGGATGGGACTTGGAGCTGGCAGGCGCCCCTGCCCGAAAACACCTAAGCTGAAGCACTGCTTGTCCAACTGACGATGCAGCTTCTGAAATTACCGACGTGCTCTACTGCTGGCTAAGTAAGCGCCCGAGCTCATTTAACTTCCTAAGGTTTTGCCTCTCTGCACACTTTTCAGGAGTTGATGTTCTGCAAACGAGCATCCTCTCCCCTTAAGGAAGTTGATCTAGTGGAAATATTTGTACACGCTGTCCTTTCCTTCAAAGGAGGCTTGCGTAAGAGCTTTAATCAGTTTGGGAGGCGACCCACTTTCAGGTCATCAACAATGTGACACTGCTAAGATGTACTGTAAGCATGTCGACAGGCAGTAGCCCCTTTTAAAAGGCAAACAAGGGAAAGAAAATGTGATAAACTCAACTCAGTGTTCTTCTGAAATATTTCTTCCACAGTGGCTGGTATGTGTACTGCTTTCTGAGTTTTAGTTCTTAAATATTAGGATGTGAAGTTGGACATTTAGCTTGGTCCCTGAGTGCTTGCTTAGAATGTGAGGCCCTGAGTTCAGCCCTTTAAATAGATAATAATGAATGTAAATTTAGATTAAATATATGTCCTGCTTACTCTGTGTCTGTCTCTTTGTAAAGCAGACAGCCCTTCAGTTTTTCCTTTTACCTCAGGTGTATGCTGTTACCCCAGCTTAGATTTTTAAGATATTTGAGTATGTAATTGTGAGTTAATGTTTAAGGATGTGTACATGTTGGCATGTGAATACAGTTTGTAGAGAGAAGCAGGCGTCATCCTCGAGTGTTCGTTAGGAACTGACTGCTTGGGTTTTGAGATGGTCTCCCTGGGACCTAGACCTAACAGTTAGGCTAGGTTGCCTGGCCACTGAGCCCCAGAGTCTGTGTCTGCCTTCCAGTTCTGGGATTAAAGACCGGTGCCTCTGTGCACAACAGTCTGGCTTATTCTTCATATCTGCCTTTTCATTCGTAGATGGGCTGTGGCACGCCTGTCAGCACTGCTGCTGGCTGTTAGGCCTTCTGTAGCTCTGTGTAGTTAGGCATGCAGATTAGCAGGTTAACTGATTATCAGAGAAGGGTCTGGACGGGGTTCTCAGTCTTCTATAAAATGGTGTTCATCTGCTCCATTGTCTCCTCTCTCGAAAAGAAGGCACTGGCCAGGAACCGTGGTGCCCATCTGTAGCTGCAGCTTTTCAGTAGGATTGCTTGACCCATCTCTTTAAAAAATAGAAAGTTGGACTTGGTGGTTCATGTACTGGTTCATGCCTCTGTAGTACCAGTAATCAGGGAGTTGAGTCAGGGGGATTCCTTTGGGCCAGGAGTTGGAAGTAGATCTTGCAATATAAGCATAGCAGGACCTCGCTTCAGTTGAGGTGTGTGTGTATTTTTTAATGGAAAGGGAAAATGAAATAGCCAGGCTCAGCGGTACATACCTGTAGTCTGTATGAGGAGGTGAGGTTGGAGGATCGCAGTCAGAGCCATCCTGAACCCCATAAGACCCAATGAATATTAAGTGAATTCCATGTGCTAGTTAACTGTGAAACACTCAAACGTGCGTGGCCACCTATCTGGACATTAGGAGGGTTAGTGAGAATAAATGGGCATAAAGTACCAGATCTTCTCTACAGGATGTGTGAGGCAAGGCCTTTATTTAGCAGAGCATGTAGAGAGTTTCATTTTAAAAAGAAGGGTTTGTTGTCTTTACAAAGCTCTAGAGGTGTGAGGATACGAGTAGGAACTTTAGAAATGTTTGGACTCTCAAATAACCCTCAGTCCATGAAGACTGTTGTAATCTGAGAAGCTGAGCACAGGCTCTGATCATCAGAACACTTCCCCCAGAGCAGGAGAACACAGCGCAGAAGTGCTGACAGCTGAGCGCATGCGTAAAGGCTGCTGCGCACTCACACCCCAGAGTGTGTGTCCTAGGTGGGTAGCCGGGAGCTCTAGAGACACGGGCCCCTGGATCCCTTGTTAGTCCAGTTTCAGCCTGTTTTACACATCTAGTTCAGGCCAGCAGAGCTGGGTTGTCAGGTCTCCAAACAAGAGGGACAGTTGTTGATGTGGGGCACAGAGAGTAAAGATTGAGAACATGGCGTGATGATGTGGGTGAGCCGCAGTGTGGTTGCAGAATTGTGTGAGCTGGTGTATGTGTAGCCTGGTAAGTAGTGTGTATATTGCTTGGTAAAGAGCTTATATCCTTAAAAAAAATTCTTTTCTACTTCAAAAATTAAAAAGGGGGGAGGGCTTCCTGGAGGGATGGCTCGGCGTTTGGGAGCAGTGGTTGCTTTTCTAGAGGACTGAGTTCAATCCCCAGCACCCAGATGGCAGCTCACAACTGAGTTCCAGGGGCTCTGACACCCTCGTGCATGTAGGCCAAACAGCAGACGTGGCAGCACACGCTTGGAGTCCCTGCTTCTGGCAGCAGGAGTGGAGGGGTTTAAGGTGCCCCTTGACCCAACTGGTCACCCCTTAAATTTCCTAGTCTGTTTGGGGACTGAAGCTTCCCAGCATGGCATGGCTGACATAGAGCTCGTAGAGCGTTTAGTTCTGATTCATATGTCCCCGGAGAGAGCCTCCCGCAGTCACTCTCCCAGGACTAATGTCATCCCTGGACTGAGAGTGAACCTTCAGAGTGGGGAGGAGGATGTCGGTGAGGAAGATGTAGGTTAGTCACTTGACGAAGGCTCACTTGTGCCCCCACAGTATTATGCAGTTTTCTGAGCTAAAGAGGCAAGATTCCGTTCAGATCATTTCTATACTTCCATGACCTGGATTTGAATTTAGTTCCTATCTCAAATAGTTGTCTTTCGAATTTCAGTAGAGAAGTAGGAAAAGTTCATGAGACAGTTGAAAGCCATTACCATAAGGATATGGCTGGAAACGTTCCCTTGTCCCAGGTGCTCTGAAAGGAATGGGCTCAGTGTGCATTAAAATGTGTGTGGCAGCTCATTTCTCCAAGTTCATTGGATCCCTGCTCTGCTGTGCCACTCAAGCGCTAGGATCAGAAGTGTCGCTGCTCCGCTGGTCACCTGATGTAATGGGGTTCTTCCTTTTGATTAAACAAGAATCCTAAAGAGCTGCCATGGGGCCTCTGGGAGGGAAGATCAGTTGACCCCGGACGAAGCTGAAGAAGTTGCTCAAACACCAGAGGGTGCTGAGCAGGGGTTGTCAACGAATGCCAGGTGTCGGGGCCGTGATAGACTGGGCTAACTATGAGGCACCGCCTCAAGAAGCGGGTGTCGGGGCACACGCCAGCATCACGCCATCTGGGAAGAAGCACAGGAAGCTCCTGCAGCAGATCCGCCCAGAAAGAAAAAGCAGCTGTGGAAGTGGAGGGCCCCGCCAAGGCAACTAGGACTGGAGCCTCAGCACAAATGACGACAGAAGAACGTGCCCCCGGATGTGAGATGGAGGATCTTGGAGAAAAGAGCTAACGTTCCTACTCTCCTACCAGAATATTCTCAGCAGCAGCCAGGAGGATTTGGAGGACTTTGGAGAAAATACTACCATATTTTATTCTCCCAGACACCTCTTCTGTACTCTTCTGACCTCCCTGAAGGTGTATATGGGGAGGACGCAAAGAAAGACTGGAGAGGCCCTCTCTAGCGGTCAGCTGTCGCGACCGGCCTTTGCCGATAAGGACGACGCAACAACCGAGGATTTCTTCAGCGGCAAGTTTATTGTATAGCTCTTTCTTGCAGATGGTGAAGGACCCAGACCCCGGGTTGTGCTCTGCTTAAATAGCCAGCAGAGAGGCGTGTTCATCTGTAATTGGTGCTCCATACAATACCCAATTAACATGTGATCTCCCATTGGAGGATCACACAATCCTACATTAGCATAAGGCGGCGCATGCGCAAATCGCGAAGCAATGCTGACAAGAAGCGCGAAAATGCTGGCAAGAA